TTGTTAACTTGTTGAGCAAAATCATAGGCGAGCTGGTGTGCTCGAACTGCAGTGGGATGGAGAAAGAGGCAAAGACTATAGCTCTTTACATTCTAGAGGAAGGAGCAGTGTAGCGTTACGTACATCTACGCTGTTGAAAGACAGAAAGGGATTCATTTCATTTAAAAAAACAAAAACTTGGATACAAAGACATGAGTTTCTGGAGGTTTAATCATTGACTGTAGAGCTAAATGAGTTCCTCAGTGTTGTATTTCTAAGCAGTATGCAAACATTTGATAAATGTTTCATAAAACACCGTGTCCTATTACAGTTTCTCTCAGTCGCTTTGGTACATTTCTCGAATCATCCTCGACATTTGCGAAACAGTCAGTGCATTTCTCAGAACAATTTGCCCGAATAGCAAAACACCATGGATTACCTGCAAGAGGCAGATACTTGCTCAAAATCCTTGGTTCATCTCTCAAAACTAAGTATCTGTGCCAATGAACATGTCAGTGGCACCAGAATGACAAGTCCTTGTGTCACTGTGTACGGATTAGACAGTCAAACTGCTTAGTCATGTTGCCAATATAACAGTGGAGGGATGATCTGATGTAAACTATGGCCAAAGTTTTGATGACATTTATTGTAAACTGTGAGTTACACCTCAGTGTATGTGGGAGATTGACTGCAAGAGACTGGACAAAACGCTTTTACTGTTTGTACTACAGACCATGTCATTGTGATACAGAAAGGAAAAGACAGCACTGCACAGCAAAAAGAAAACAAAAGTAGAAATGTGAACATAGGACAGTCTCCTTAGGGAAAACTATACATGCAGTGCTGTAGGAATTACAGTGCAGTCTTCCTCTATACCTGCCAGTTGATGGTTCATGAGATGCACCTTTGAGCTATTTCAGAAAACTGGTTGATCTATGTGATGCTACACACATTTCCCATCATTAGAGAAAGTCACCTGGAAGCAACTTAGCAATTCAGGACAGATTTAGGAAAAAAGTCTAATGNTCATTAGAGAAAGTCACCTGGAAGCAACTTAGCAATTCAGGACAGATTTAGGAAAAAAGTCTAATGAAAGTGTAAAGAAATATGCTTGACATATTTCTATTGCATGTATAGACTTATGCGATGAACTAATGCTGAATGTTGTGGGGACTGAGACTATTCAACAGATCCCCATTATAATACATTTTGATCAATATGACAAAAGCATTTGATAATGTAGGAAACAGCAGAGAATTGTACGTAATCATGTGCATGGATGTACCAAAGCATTTAGAACTTGTTCAAAGAAACGAGAAAGTGCTTTTTTGATGTGCACAAGTGAAACAATGATGTGAAGATTGAACAAGTACTTCTGAGAATTTCAATTCTGATCTGAAAAATGTACCAAAGCAACTGAGAAAAACTGTACGATATAATTTCATATTACATATGTGTTTACTATTATGTCATTCATTCATTATTAGTGGTGCAAGATTTGACCTTTAAAAGATGACATGATTGTAGAATGTAACACATCGTTAAATGTTAAACCTGTTTTCTACCATTTCTGGCCTTATTCATGAAGAAGTTGTGTCTAGATCTAGTTGAGGCCCTGTGTCACAGGTCAGCCGTCTACGAGTTGTTAACAGTTTCACTAAAACGTTCTAAAAAACTGACATTTTCCCGCTAAAATTGTTACAGCCTTCAAAATGTGTTCAAGGTCCAAAGGAAGCCGGAGAACCCAGAGAGAACCCACACTGCACGGGGAGAACATGCAAACTCCACACAGAAAGATCCCAGGTGTCCTCACCGGGACTCAAACCGGTGACCGTCTTGCTGTGAGGCAACGGTGCTAACCACCGCTCCACCTTGCAGCCCCAGAAAAAAATCATTTTTTGGTAAATTTTACTGTTATCCACAGTTACAGGGTTTTTGTGTGTTTTTTGCATAAACATGTAAATTCACTGTATTTTTGTGATTATGATTTATTGTATTGTATTTCAAAACATATAGAAAAATAAAATGGATAAAAATAATTACAGATTTTTTTTAGATTGAGGATTTTACTCATATTTAATCGACATGAATCAGTGAAAATGTGGCGCGTTGACTTTCATCAGTCTTAAACTAAAAGGTGGGTAACTTGGTGAAAAAAGAACGACTTTTGTATGTGTTCACTCAAACAACAGTGTTTTTTATTGATCGTTTCTTGAGAGCAAATCAGGATTCCGACAACTGAGTTCTTGGCTGTTTTAAATCTCAGCGTTCAACAGTGTGTACTCGCTGCTCAAACGCTTCTGTCATTTAAAGGAAACAAAAACCCTGATTGACTTGTGATTTGGAGCGTGGTTCAAAGCTCAGTGGTATGTCTTCCAGTCTGCACACCAGGCTTTATTGACCTTTTCCAGCTAAGCGGGCAACTGTGCTAATTGTTTACCACCACATCCTGTTCCTTCACTGCTGGCTTTACTGAGGAGACCTCACCTCACCATGCATTTGTAATTATTTCTTCCACGTAATTGACAGTCGCGATTCTGACCCTAAATAGCCCTGAAGCCTCCCTATCCTGGTGTTTCATGCGCACCCTAATCTAGTATTTAAACGCAGCATGCAAATTGTCACCTTTCCTGACTTAGAGAAAAAGGTAAAAATCTACTTTCCATTGTAAAGGTTTTAAATTTAATGTGCATAAAAAGATTTTGAGTTCTTCATCTGGTGACAAATTCCCAACCATTGCATTAAATTACACTCTAGTCAGATGTGGCTTTAAAGGGGAAATGATCAGATAGTGACCAGCTTACAGATGGTCCTTCATTCAGCAACTATAAAAGGCCGACTTTAAATGCAGCTTTATTCAAATGACAGATACAAGAGGGAGATGAGAATGAGCTGTTGGCATGTAGTTAGAGCTGCTGCCAGGCACGTGAATGTCCACAACTCCACCATTTATTGTCTAAGAAATTGATTCTGACTGTATGGTATGAAAGATAATTTGACCCATTAGTATCTGAACATCATAACATCCATCCATCCATTATCTATACACCGCTTAATCCTCACTAGGGTCATGGGGGGGCTGGAGTCTATCCCAGCTGACTCAGGGTGAAGGCAGGGGACACCCTACACTCCACGCAGAAAGATCCTGGGTGTCCTCACCAAGATGCGAACCGGTGACCTTCTTGCTGCGAGGTAACAGTGCTAACCACTGCTCCACCTTGCAGCCCAGCATCATAACATCCGTCTGCGAAATCACTTGTGATCCCGATTGCCAACAACACTAACAAACTCCTTTCACCTGTGTTTAAACCGTTCTCGTACCTCATCGTCTCACCAGAATCAGCCCTGCCTCTCTACTGTAGCAGCTTAAAAATTTCCAGTCCTACCAGAGCCTGCAGACTCTCCAGACATCTGAACCCTCCAACATCTGTGAGGCGCTCTAGATGGTGTCTGTCAACTTGATTTTGTCCCAAAAAGTGTCTGCCAACTTCGCAACAGCATTGGTTGTTTCATGGTGTCCAATCTGTTGTGGTGATGCCACGTATTGGAACAACAAATGCTCATTCCCCTTCGTTAAGAACAATAAATACATAAGACTTTGATAAAACACTACATGCTGCGCTTATGTTTCTGTTCAGTATATTGCACAGCGATGGTACTTGCTTGCTTGCACTCTGTACTCTTGTAAATCCTACTTAACTTTATATATGGAATAAATATCTGTATTGATTGTTAAACTATTGTGTGATCAGGATACATTTCAGCACCTACGTTTGACAGTATTATGACTAGGGATGTCCGACAATATTGGTGGATCGATATTATTGGCCCGATATTGGCATAAAAATGTAATATCTGTCAATGTCATTATTGGTTTTTTTTGGGGGGGGGGGTTTGCCTTTAATGAAAACTAATAAAATAATGCCTGGATTTTATTTACTGATGACGACATCAAACTGCCTCATGAAGCATGAAAACAAGTGTGGCTGCAGTAACAAACATGTATCGGTATCCGTTGAGATCAGAATTGGAAATTGAGAGTTGGACAATATCGACATATCAGATAATGACAAAAAAGCCAATATTGGACATCCCTAATTATGCCTGAAGTCACTTTCTTGTCTCCAACTAGTTCAGAACTCAACCGCTTGGTTTCTTACTCATCTCCCCAATCTTGACTTTCTTCCACTGGCTCTCTGTTCATCGATTCAATCGATTTTTAAAAGATTTTATTGATCCATATGAGCCAGGTTGCAGTCTTCGATCCACAGGTGGGATCTTTCTTCTGTCTGTTCAAAAGTTAAATCTAAGAGTGACCCCATCAGGGCCCCTCTGCTTTAAAATGACCCACCGGAGGCTGCAGAATCAATGTCGTCTTTGAAATCATCTCTTAAAACACATTTTTATAGACAAGTTTTTATGGTATTTTGGGGGAATTTTATTATTTTATATTTATCAGTTAGTGTTTGGTCTGTTGTTTCATTCATATTTATTATCTTTTACTGTGTTTTTCCACTTTTTTATTTCTGTTTGGCCTGACTGGCTTAATATTGTCTTCCTTGTCCTTTTTTTAAATTTATTTTTTAGTTTGTCTCTTGAAACACTTTGCAAACTCTGTTTTTAAAAGCTCCAGGATAAATGGGGTGATTACTGTTGTATTTATTAACACATCAGCACTTAGGTAGGAGAGATGTGTTAATTTTGGAATATAAAAAGAACATAAGTGTGCAATTATAATGAAGTAAACTAATATTTTATCTTGCTGGTTGGTGACGTCAGCCCACTACAACCACAGATCTCACCCAGCAGCTTTCACAGACACCTTTTTTGGTAATCCTCTTTCCTGACAGGAGCTGTCTGATCAGCGCCACACTGCGCGCTCTGCTTGCGCCAGGAATAGTCCCGCTAACACAAGCCACATTAACGGGCTTACAGTGACAGACTCACACTTGATCGGATTTTCCTCTCAGAATTTTCTTGATTTTGCTGCTTGGTCATGGCACCACTTTGTAGATTTAGTTATACGTGATGCTTTTTTGGGGGGTGGACCTGTTTGGATCGCACGTTTACGCACGAAACTTAAGAAGTGGAGTTCATCTGAGAGTGTAGAGGATTGTCACCTTTTTCCTTCACTTTCTTTTAAGGATAAACGCTGCCGGTATGTTTTTATTCTTGTACGGATTGTTATGTTTCTGCGCTCTGGGTTGTGGTCAACTAACGAGCGGCCAACCGGACGATGGAAAGCGGTACATCTGCCGGGCGGTCCCCCTCAGCGGCGATGCCAGCTGCCCTGTGACATTGTTACCCGAGCTAAACACCGGGGGACAGGAAGAGGAGCTAAGAAACACAGTCATGCAGCTCCGAGAGACGATATTACAACAGAAAGAAACGATTTCTAAACAGATCGGCACCATCAACGAGCTGACAACCAAGCTGTCCCTCTGCGCCTCAGCCAGCGACGACAGGGAGTACGGCAAAGGAGGATCGTGGGGTAAAGAAAAGCAAAACACAATGGGAGATGTTCCCAGAGATCCAAACGACACAATCGACAGTCTTGGAAAAACCATGCAGGGGCTCAAGGACCGGCTGGAGAACTTGGAGGTGAGGCGCCACCAACTGCGTAAAAGCAGATGCACCGTGCCACAGGCCGTGCGTAAAACCATAGTTTAATTCTCGGGAAGGGTTGATTAAGAGGATTAGAGGGAAAAACTGTCGATTCACTGCCCAGCGGTACACTGGCACTTCTGAGAATCATTACAGGATGCGTGGTGGAGATCAAACAGAGGAAAGAGATTAATTGGCCGACCTGAAACTACCTCTCACTTAGGGCTGATTAGACAATGTGGCGTGTGTTTTTATTTTGCTTGTGCTTTTATAAAAGAATTAATAGTGTTTTCTTCCCAGTCTTATGAGCTTCTGGTTAAAGCTCCAATTTGTGTCTGTGAGGTATTACCATAGCATGTAACATAAAAGGACTAAATGGGGATGGTTTATTCCCTCATATGAATTTGCATAATTGTCAGAAAAAATATAAAAATAACAGGATGATCCATTCAGGATTTTTTAAAAAGTGACCTCAAACTTTATTTAACTATTTCTATAGATGTATTTTTAGGCCACAACTAGTTTAACAGGTGGTCTAAGGCGTCACTTTCAGCTCTCCTGGGGGCTCAGTGTCATTGTTAATATTTGTGCACTTCCTGTTCATCATCTTCTGTCCGCTCTTCCCTAGCAACAGCAAATGAGGGCCAACATATCAGGCGCCTCATTCCCCAGTGAGCTCCGTGACCTGCTGCAGCGTCGCCTCGGGGAGCTGGAGAAACAGCTACTGAAGAAAGTCAGCAACTTGGAGCAGGAGAAGAGCATGCTGTCCAACGCAACGGCTGCCTACAGGTTGAAAACAGAGAGCACCCTGAACGCCCTGGTGGAGAGGATCAGTGAGCTGGAGAAAGGTACAGAAATAATCGGCCGTTCATCCGGCAACTCAGTCAGATGTGCACCATTAGAGCTGTGGAGATGAAATATTGTCTTGTGATGATTAGGTAACTCACTGTGGGTTGGGGAAATGTACAGGATGTAGCAAGTGGAGAGGATGAGTGAACAGAGGATAGTGCAGCACAAGAGGAAATGCAGATAAGAGGACATAAAGCGTGCTACACACTGTACTCCAGTGAACTGCACTCAGATGCTTTGGTGAATCAGAGAAGGTGAAATAACCCTGACCGACATGCGCATTTACTACACAGAGGGGACTTTTTGTTGGGACTGTCTTAAGACTCAGTGCACTAAACACAAAAAGAGGTGATGCTGTTGTTTACTAGCTTTGATTCCCAGACACAAGTTAATGAAACCTCATGGTTTACCTCTCCCACCTTGCCCCTATCTCCTCTCTGTCTTCAACAGGGGGAGGAGACTTTAAATCCCCGGAACAATTTAAGCTATCACTCCCCCAGCGGACCAACTACTTATACGGCCGCATCACCAAGAGCCTCCCAGAGATGTACGCCTTCACACTCTGCATGTGGATCAAGTCCAGTGCCAGTCCTGGCATTGGGACGCCTTTCTCCTACGGCGTACCAGGGCAGGCAAATGAGATTGTGCTGATAGAATGGGGAAACAACCCAATTGAGCTGCTCATCAATGACAAGGCAAGTCATTCGACTGTTATGGTTCTTTGGTAAAAGGATATTTGCCCAAAATGTACAATTAAACAGTTAATTTGCAAAAACAGATAACTCCATCTTCACAGACCTTCAGAAAACCCACTTTCCCATCGTCTACCTGAGACAATATCAATCAAACTTCAGTTATTTCTATTTTTGTCATGTCATTTCTACTGAGTCACATCCACTCAGCTTCAGTTTGATTGATATTATCTCAAGCAAACAACAAAAAAATAAGTTTTCTGAATATCTACAAAAATAGAGTTATCTGTTTTTGCAAATGAACTCTTCAACTATAAAAGAACATTGTCTTTTCACTGTAGGTTGCCCAGCTGCCCCTGGAGGTACGTGACGGCAGGTGGCACCACATCTGCATCTCCTGGACCACACGGGACGGCCAGTGGGACGCTTACCAAGACGGGGAGAAGCTGGGAACCGGCGACAACCTGGCGGCCTGGCATCCCATCAAACCTGGAGGAGTCATCATCCTGGGGCAGGAGCAGGTAAGGACATGCAGTGGAAAAGTGGATGAATGTCTGTATTTTTAGAGTCAGTTTGCCTCTTTTGTGATGACTTAAGAAAGCAGCTGCTTTACAAAGAATTACTTTGCCAGTGACTTCTGTGCTATATAAAGTGACAGCGCACTAACAATGTTTCTGGCGCAACATGTTCACATAACAGGAGCCAAACGCTTCAAGGTCTAATGTTGAATAGTTCTCCTAATAAGCAGTGCTATTTATGAGGCACCTTTGCAAAGTGCAGATGGGAACAAGAAAAATCTAGCAGCAGAAATGAGAAAACAGTCATTCGGAACAAGAGTGAACTCGTCACTGCCCATAGATGCTACCGACTGTGACTGTCAGGGCATTGTTTCAAATGTCACAATAGAGGAATAACATTTATCAGTCTGTTTAGTTTTCTGTGAATCCAATCAAGTGAGTCAACATTTGACTGGAAACAAAGTGCACACAGCAACATATGGCAAGTTTGTCTGCTTTGCATGACACAATGTGTTTCTGGCTTCACTAGCATCCTGGCTCGCATGATGCCTATGTCATTCTGTTGGCGTGTTGGTCGGTCAGTCGCTCCAAACTAAAATACCTCAGCAACTATTGGTTGGATTGCAATAGATTTTGGAACATTCAGGCTCCTCTAAGAATGAACTGTCCCTTAACTGTCATCAACAGGCCAGCATGTTTATTTGTCCAATCCTTGACGTACGACCACATATCTGCTTAACAACTTTCACTGACATCAGCTTCGTCAGGCTGCACTGTTTGGTTGTAATTTGTGAGTTGCAAACATCATTTTTATTAAACATCAGCATGTCCCTGAAAGCATGATGGCAGACTAATGTTTAGCTCAAAGCACCACTGTCAAACTAGCATGGAAACATATTCTTGTTTGTATAGCAGAAGAGCTAATTTGGAGTTTCTTCAGAGGATTCATTTCCACTTGACAATCCGGCTGTAAATGATGTGCAGTGCATTCTATGTAGTGGTAGTGAGCCTTAGCATTGAATTTAATGCAGACTACATGTAATGTGACCACAGTTCAGATAATAGTCTGTACATGAATCATGGATGCAGCCTTCAGGTCTGAAAAGTGAGGCCAAAGTGGAAGTGGCTTTAACCTGCATTCCTTCTAACAGCCAGCAGGGGGCGACTCCTCTGGCTGCAAAAAGAAATTGAGTGTATGAGGAATCAACCCCTACCTCTCAGTTAATTTATTACCTCAGTAAACATTTTTCTAATTAATTTATGGTCTCAATCTGTAGTTTCAAATTTCCTTCAACACAGCTTGATGTTCATTTTGTCAGTTATCGTCCCATTTTGAGAAAAATGGACGATAAAGCAGAACTATTCAAGGCTCGGGTTACTTGCAATCGACAAGTTGCGATCATATCAGTGTGCATAGTGTCCTTGAGCTCTTCGTCAGCTCCACACCTCACTGACTTTATTTTTTTTGTTTTACAATTAACATTTGAAATGATGAAAGTACTTGCAAATGATGGCATGAAGGTCATAGATATTGTAAACCTCCTTACATAATTTTTTCTTCAGTTTAAAAAAAAATTATACAAATTATTATTTTTGTTTTACTAAAAAAACAAACCACTGCCCACTGGTAGATTAAAACCCTAAAAACTGTTAAATATAGACATGGTACAAATTAAAGAAAAGACAAAAAATATAAATTTGAGATGAAGGATTTGAAACAAGAAGAAAAAAAATAGAATTTTCACAGTGAAGAAAGTGGTTGGATGTGAAAAATCAAGTTGAATGTGCAGAGTCCCTCTAAAGTCCACTTCAATGAGAATATAAATGGATCAAAATGTAACTTATATTCCAAACCTCTTTAAAAGGAAATCACATTTCATTTTGAATCACATACTATTACAAGGCATGTTTTCCAGATTTGTTTTTGTCAATGTTGATTTATAGAAGAAACCATAAAGAGCATCTTTGGGTGGATGGAAAAACAACGATAAATGGAAATCAAATTACATCAAGTTTCAAAAAACCAAGATATAGATATTGAAGGCCAAATGCCAAACTCAAGGTAACAGTTGTCCAAAAACCAGTTGTTTGCATCATGCAGGCTACATCCATCTGTTATTTACGGTCTATAGTTCAGACAAACAACAGTGTGGTAGAACCTGTTCCTTCTCAATGTAGTTTTGATGACCCTGCACTCCAAACAGCCACAGAAAAATAACGTTGTTTTGATTATTTATCTTATTTTCATATGTTATTCAAATGAGTTAGCTATTTGATGATATTTGCTTTAAGTTTTGTCTTCCAGCAAAATAGTCAAAGTGGTATCAAATGGTTCTTCTCACTGCCAGCAATCAAATTCTGGTGGAGAATTTCTGAATCTTTTTTTAAAAAATTGGTTGTTTGTTGGCCTCAAAGCTGCCTAGAATCAACTTCACCACGTGTTAGGTCGTTCAAACACTGAAGACAAACTCCGAGCAAGACAAACTTTTCAGAAAGAACCACCAAGGACTTGACTTCAGTGTCCTCGTTGATGCTCACGTACAACCGGGACTACAGCAAGGCAATAACACTTTAAAGGAAAGTTCGAAAGTTTAATGAGTAGTCCTGCCATATTCCTGACTGCCTCCTCCGTGCTTCGGAGAGATAATTACCTCTGATAATGTTGTTGTTGATGCCATTTAAATTTACATCCTGCTCTTTATGGCCCTTGCAGGACGTGGTTGGTGGGCGCTTTGACGCCGGACAGGCTTTCGTGGGCGAGCTGAGTCAGGTGAACATTTGGGACCGCGTTCTGAAGCCGGTCGAGATCCAGTCTATGGCCAACTGCACTTCTTACATCCCCGGGAACATCATCTCCTGGCTAGCGAGCAATGTTGAAGTCTTCGGGAGGGGAGCGTTCAAACGGCCGTTGGAGATGTGTCAGGAGCGGCTGCCCAACGCTTAGATATCAATGTTTCCATCCATTCACCATTAAAAAAAAACAAAGTCTGCTCTCACTGTAAGGCAGATTATGGACTTTATTTTACAGATGGATGTGTAATAATGTTGTTTCATCTGCTTTGCACAAGAGGTGGGATTTCTAAAAACAAAAAAAGCTCCAAAGCTTACTCTGACGTTGCAGCTGTAACAGTTTGACGGTTAGACATGTAGCATTGAATGTGGAAACACACCGAAGTGCAAATGTGGGTCTATATGAGCACAATCGGATTTCCAGCGGCGATCTGAGAGCTCTTTACTGACGTGTACCATGATTAAGGTACTTTACTCCATAATAATATCCCCCACAGGTATTAGAGCTAAGACCCCCTTCTCACAGTCTCCCACACACTCCTCCCTCCGCATTTTAAAACCCTGAGGTGAAGAAAATCCCCACTTCAGCCCTGCGCAGACACACGCTACTACCCCGAAGACCGACTCCGCCGCTGACATGTGAGGCGGTGCTGCGTGAGAGTCAGTAACAGGATAGATTAAAGGTCTGGCTAATGTTATGTCTCTTCCTTAACCAGGCAATGGGCTTAGAGCCAACATCAATCAAACCTCCGATCCTGACACGTTCAGTCGTCGAAGGCGGGGGGGAAATAACCCCGGTCCCCTGTCTGTTATGCGGCTGATAGATGAAGCATGCGTGCAGTAGATCTGATTCTCCGTTTAGAAACGCTGGTGATTTGGTTTTGCGGCTTGCATAGTGAAAACCTTGTTAGGAAGCGACATTTGCATGCACATCTGACACCAGTGAGTCTATCACAGTGCTTTCTCCCCGGGCCTTTTCCATTTGAAGAAAACGGTGAATCATGCTGAAAATATATTCATAGCATCAATGTTGTGAAATATTTTTACTCGTGATTTGTGTTGTTGTTAGTGGATCGTCGATTGTACCAGACATTCAGAAAAAAATCGTCAAGCATGTATTTTGAATGCACTTGTACGTTTATAGAGTATTTTTCCATCATATAGTGTCTCCGTCCGGGAAAAAAAAAGTAGTTTTTTATGTTGCCAGTCCGTATAGCACATGTAAAAGGTGTTGTCAGCGCTGTCCTGTTGCCTTCTTCTAAATGCTTAAGTGCCATTAAATGTTTTCTAAGTGTTAAAAAAATTATTTGCTTTGCCAAAAAAAATGGAAATGTGAAAAATAAATAAAACAACTGCTGCAAAATTAATAAGGAAATGTCTTTGTTTGATGTGTTCCTGGTGAAACTTGTGCATGTGCCGGCACGTGTGGAATGCTTTAGATGTTAACGTAGTTTCTTACTATGTTTATTTGGCATTTAGGAATCCTGAGGATTAAATCCAGTTCATCTGAGAACGTTTAGTTAATCTGTGGTCAGCTTGGTATAAGCATATGGCTGCTCTCCACCAGGTTAAAATCACTTTGTCCGTTGTAAATGTATTCTGTCAACCTCGTTAAGGTAGCGTAGGAGTGACATGAGTAGTTAGCACAGGCTGAGGAGGATATTTACACTCAGATGGGTCAAGACAACAACAGGTGTCCTGGATGGTATTAGCAACACTTAGCAGATGAGAGAGGCCGAAAGGTCGGCCGTGACGTCACAGACATCCTCCTTGAGACAAAGCAGCTCCTTTCAGCCACTTACTGATATGAAAACATCTCAGGTGGGACGAAAACTACATGTTTTTCCTGAAGGCCATTATGAAAGGACGATTTTCTGAATGTAGTAATCGATAATTGGAGCTTCAGTATAACAGTGGATGGAAGCTGTGCCAGGTTGATTAGAAACAAAAAGTTTTTCCAACCCCTTCAGTCTTTAATGTGATATTTCAGGAAATGGTGACTATGGTTTGATTCATGAAAACAACTGCTTTGAGGGTCTTTGTAGATGAGACGCTTTATTGTTGCAACCTTCCTTCTGTGCTCTCAGCTGAAGATTGATTTGTATGTTTCACACAGGCTGTTTTTCAGGTGGATTGTATGCAGCTTTAACACCCAGGCCACAGTGTAAGGCACATATTTTGTCACGTCATTTTCACATTACACAGGATGTCCTGTGTGTTTTGTGTCTTTTATCTAGACCAAAAGAAGAAAGAAAAAAAGCAATAACATAAAAGTCCCATCTAGCTACTCAGAGCTGAATAGCCAGACGGAGGCAATCAATAATGGTCATGGAAATGGACACGAACATGTCCAAGGCCAGTCTGTATCCGTTCATTATTTTGTTAGGCCGTGTTTCATGTCTGATGGGTAAATGGATAAAAGCAAGGTTGGTTGGTAAACTGTTTGGTTTATTTGTGCAGTGGCAAAAAAACTCAAAGTGATGAACTATCAAAACAATATAAAAGACACAAAAAGACGATGAGCTCTAAGTGTTTTTTCTTTTTTTTCCCCCAAATAATATACAGTAGTTCTTGAATAACGATATCAGCATCACAGACGGATGTATTGAATCTTGTGTTTCCTCCCGTTGGGCTACATGTTCCAAGGTTAGTTTTGAGAGATCTGAGCGTTACTGAGATGAATGATTTTCTATGAAGCAGCTTCACTGTCGAAATTTGGTCGGCTATGAGGCAGAAAAGCTTTTCATGAACACAAAATCGATGACAATTTTTGTGAGGTTAGATCTAAAGATCATTACTCCAATTATATTGAAGATTTGAAATAATCGGTAGCCTGTGAATTTTATTTATTTTTTTACTTTTTAATAAAATTCCATTTGACATCACAGAATGTTTTTGACCTCAGCTTCCAGGGAATCCATCCATCCATTATCTACACACCGCTTAATCCTCACTGGGGTCGCACTGGAGCTTATCCCAGCTTACTTAGGGCGAAGGCAGGGGACACCCTGGACAGGTCACCAGTCTATCACAGGGCTACACAGACAGACAACCAAGCACACTCACATTCACACCTATGGACAATTTAGAATCACCAATTAACCGCAAAATGTTTTTGGACTGTGTGGGAGGAAGCCGGAGAACCCGGAGAGAACCCACGCTGCACGGGGAGAACATGCAAACTCCATGCAGAAAGATCCCGGGTGTCCTCACCAGGACGCGAATGTTCTAGGTGCGAGGCAACTGTGCTAACCACCGAGCCACCTTGCAGCCCTCAGGGACTCCAACGCTGCCTAATTTGGGAAAATCAGACATATGGTTCAAAAGGTTTTGCTGCATAAATGCACTTCCAACTTCAACCAGGTGCTCCAGTGCTCGTTGCACAGAAACCAACTTTCTATTGGTTCTTCCTTTTACCATGCTTCACTTCTCCACCAAGTTTCATGAAAATTTGTGGGGTAGTTTTAACATAATCCAGTTTACAGACATTCACACAGATGCACAATGTACAACAAAATTAGCGAGTGTAACTATGTTTTCATTAATATGTAATCACCTGCAAGTACAAAATGTTGTATTTGTGTTGTCCTTAAATGATCAAGTGTGATGTTACATACTGACGAATCACAATCTCTATATATTAGATGGTCACCCATTGGTTAGCAGACCACTGTTTTAAAGCCTCAGGTTTAGCATTGTGATTGTGTCATTTTGCTTGTATTAAATCAGACGTAACAAGTGAGTGATGGATGTGACTGAAAATTTGAGGACAGAAAGCATACAGATACAGAAGCAATCTAATAATCATAAGGTAGCCCCATCCTAAAACATACCCTGCTTTATCATCTGTTTCACTAACTTACAAAATCTAAGTCATGCTGTCATGAAGGCTACTTGAAACTAGTGATCGAGACTATTAACGTAACAGGAAAATGTTTAATAAGGTAGAAAATCAAGTGAGAAGTAGTGCCATTTTCCCATTGATTTCTATAGAGCATGAGTTCTTTTTGCAATCAGAGGAGTCGCCCCCTGCTGGCTGTTCGAAACTGTGCAGGTTTAACCACTTCTGCATTGGCTCTACTTTTTCTCTATATTTTTTATATACAGTCTATGTGACAAACCCAGAGAGAGTCATCATCCACCTCTGCACTTCTAGTCAGCTTCATGGAGCATTTTTATGACCGAACTTAATGTTTAGATCCACTGTCACTGTTCTCATCATGTGTCAACAGCAAACAACAGACACGAAACGTTATAGGCAAGCTGGTGAAAGCACCTGAAACAGCAAAAGAACAGCAAGAAGATAGTGGAGCTACAAGGAGAGCAAATACTGGACTTACTTGGAATTAATGAGGTGACCTGAAACAGCTTCAGATAAAGGCACATGTTGCTCTGCATCTGCTGGGTGTTTAAATAGGGAAGTGTTTGTTGGTCACACATTCACCTTATCAGCTTCGTAAGGTAATAATATCAGAGATGTTCACAGATCTTTGTTCAAGAAAAGAGAAAGTGTTATTCCATCCATCCATTATCTATACACCGCTTAATCCTCACTAGGGTCATGGGGGGGCTGGAGTCTATCCCAGCTGACTTAGGGCGAAGGCAGGGGACACCCTGGACAGGTCACCAGTCTATCGCAGGGCCACAGTTAGAAGGAAAATGTTTAATAAGGTAAAATATCAAGTGAGAAGTAGTGCCATTTTCCCATTGATTTCTATAGAGCATGAGTTCTTTTTGCAACCAGAGGAGTCGCCCCCTGCTGGCTGTTCGAAACAATGCAGGTTTAAGCCACTTCTGCATTGGCTCCACTTTTTCTCTATATTTTTTGTATACAGTCTATGTGACAACTCCAGAGAGATTCAGCATCCACCTCTGCACGTCTAGTCAGCTTCATGGAGCATTTTAGCATCTTCCAACTCATTATTTTGTGAACGAACTTAATGTTTAGATCCACTGTCACTGTTCTCACCGTGTGTCAGCAGCAAACAACAGGCACGAAACGTTACAGGCAAGCTGGTGAAAGCACTTGTAGCAGCAAAAGAACAGCAAGAAGATACAAAGAGAGCGAATACTGGACTTACTTGGAATCAATGAGGTGACCTGAAACAGCTTCAGATAAAGGCACATGTTGCTCTGCATCTGCTGGATGTATAAATAGGGAAGTGTTTGTTGGTCACACATTCACCTTATCAGCTTCGTATCGTATTTATAGATGGGATTGCTTTTTCCACTTACACACCAAAGACCATCTTTTTAGTCAAATAGAAACCGTGAAAAATACAAATGAACATATCAGCAGCACGTCAAAGACCCCACATGTCATATTTGGTTTTTTTTTCCATCTAAGTGTTTGATTTTTATTTTAACATCTGCCTACTACGATGTGATATGATTCATTTATTTTCATTTTCCTTCACAAAGAATAGAGAGAGTCCCCAACCGCTAATGCACCCCTCAAAAGTTCACAGAGTTTCAGTGGATATGAGTGAAGTTAAAAGCCAAACTTCATGAGCTGTTTTTTTTTTTTTTTGCTAAAAACTGTGAACAGCTGCACACTTTAAACACAGCAATGTTTCAGCTCAAGGTCGGTCCTCTGATGGAAGTGACATTCCTCTTTGCACCTGCAGCCTCCAACAGTGTCTTTGGCAGCTGGTATTCATCAAGAGACTCACAATTAATAACTGCTGCGACGTCTCTAACAGAGGACAAGCTGGCATTAAACGCCATCGAGGTACTAAATAGCATAAAAATAATCGGATTGACGTCAGTTGGAAGAGATTCAAGGATATTATTTTATGTTGTGTAATCGTAAGTCATCCCTATTGTTCAGCTGTGTTTTACTCGATCCTTTCTTTCATGACACTGTGACGTTTTCCTTTATAATGATCAGCACCTTTTGCTTTGTTCCAAATGAGAATTCGTCTATTGTAATTTGCAACTTTTGTTGTTTATCGGCTTCATTTATTGAATTTTTGTAAAGTTTGTTTTGGCTTTGCTACATTTTTCACCACAACGATGGCACAGCTCAATGAATGACAATCCCAGGGAATCAGCCACACCGTTAGTTACGCTAGGATGTGCAGATCTATCACACCGCTCCCCACTAGCTGCAGTACGAGCACACCAGCTCACCCAGGACTCTGTAAAACTACTCTGCGCTACACAACATCAAGTTTTAATATTGGTGTCACACAGTAATATATGGTAGAACTAGAAACCCCTTCTTAAAAAAATCTTATCAAATCACAAGTTCCACTCATGATATGTCGATATAAAACCCCATATGGACATGTTAACTAGGGGGAAAAGGGATTTTCAATGGAGGGGTCTGACTGTTGGATAGAGTCCTATAAAATGATGCTGATTCAATCTCCAAGTTGGGTTGGCAAAAACTTTTGCACAGACATTCACTGTGAATCATAATAACTGTAGTGAACCAATCGTCTCTTCTCATTCACATTTGTGATTTTAAATGAAAATTGTCGACTTTAATGGATTGCTTGAATAAAATTCAATTCAATTTAATTCAAAGCTCACTGAGTATCTAGTATAAAGACATCAAAAAAAAGAAACACAATAGAAAATAAAACACAAAATGAACAGATAGATTTATAAAATCGCCAAGGACGAATTTTGGAGAGTCGGGGACATGAGTTCCAATCTGTTAAGCACAGTCGTGATGTGATCAGAAGCTGCAGCTGCCTTTGCTTTAGGGTTGATGTAGACTTCCTGGAATTCCCTGTTAGCTGACTGTCCCGGTCGAGCCTTATCGGTGTCCCAAAGCCGTCACTGTGCAGAGAACTGCCGCTGTCATTGCTGCAGTCCTGTATTCATACATATACACCAAGTTAGCTCGAAGTTTGTCTTCTTGTTGCAAAATGAACATACATTGGCTAGGATGACTGAAGGATGGGTGCGTATAATATGTGGTACAGAGATATATTTTAGCCACAGGATGAATTGTTAGCTTTCTGTGACGCCATGACATTTAACTCGCACCACCATCAGGTCAGAATTGTAGTTTCTCCAGTGCTTTAGTTCAAGAACAAATGGCTTGGCCTCGGGTGTTTTAATTAGAATGTGGTAGCATGTTAATATGCTGGCTACAACTGTAAACATGAGGAACATCATCATCATGTTGGCAACTTATTATCTCTAAAAGATGTCAAACATCTCAAAGTCCTCCTGGATAATGCTCTTCATAAATGTTCACAATTTTTTGTGATCTAGACTTCCCATCCTGCAAATTTGATCATACTATGATGTGTTTTGACTTGTTTTAAAGCTGGAGTATGCAGAATCACGGAAACCAGTTTCGGTATTTATATACTGATAGGTAAGTGGAAAGAGAAAGACAGGAAAATAAGGAGCAGAGTGGGAGAAGGCCCTGCAGCAAATGGCTGTAGGCTGGATTCGAACCCATGACCACTGCTTCAGGGACTTCTCGCCCTTGTTTATGGGTCACCCATTCAGCCTGTTGAGCTGCCGTGGTGGTAAACTGATTTTTGAAAGCATATCACATCACCTACTTATCAGATCTTTTTCTAGAGCAAATCATCCACACATAAGAGCATACCGCTTTAGTGCAGCTGGAGGAATGCAGGCTAATTCATGACTTTTGCGTCCATGTGTGCAGACTGATGCAGACTTTGAAAGCCACTTACAGTAGTTACACTTTTATCTACTATAGCAGACACACTGACACAGACATTCAAATAGACAGTTAGATGCAATCAGCTGCCATGTTTAGCAATGCAAGATGTAATCTTAATATAATGTTGTCGTTTCAGGTGTAACTGTAAAATGTGTCTGCTCTTTGCCTGCAATTCTGGTGCTATCAAGCCGGTGAGTTATGGCAACGTGTTCACCTAGAGCCTTGTGGAAGACAATCGATTTGCGTCGGCATGTGCAGGTACGTAGTTAAAAAGGTAAACCAACCAATTATCTGACGGGACTGAATACACTTATTGAACAGCTTTTACAGGCCTGTGATTTGTTACAAATAAGTTTTTCTTTCTGTTTATCATCATAGCACTTATGATTTAGTGATGACTGTTGAAATGTAAAAACACTTTTTAAGAAATACAACAAAAGCTGCATCTTGTATGCATCACGTACTCCAACCTTAAGTTTACTAATGACATTAGCAATGGCTTCGTTCCATTGCGGTATCTCATTAAGCCTTGTTATTGAGCCACACCACAGAACACCAGGACCCCAGACACAACCTGCTACAAGTCACAGTGTCTCCTGTGGAAAAAGATCCGTTCACTTTACAGAAGAGCTATTGCATATCTGTCCTGGAGGAGGGATCCTTCCTCTGGTTTTCCCGAGGTCTTCACCTGATAAAGAGGTGAGTTTGTCACATTTATCTAAAAGGTTAGAAAAGGGGTAGATGGTGTTGAAAAACAGTGAGACTTATCACTGCAATAGGGTGCTAAACTGAATTGAATGACAATGAGATTTCTTTTGTTTGTTTATAGTAAATGCTCAGTAATGCACCTCGGCTGCTAATTTGAAAAGGAAAAAAAAAAAGTTCAGTTATTGATCCTTTAGTGTTTACTCATTTTGTCTGATCAATTTTGTGGTTTGTTTTTTTAGATTGCCCCTGGCCTATTATCATTTGGCAAAAGTGGCCCCCGGGCAAAACAGAGTATGTCTGCTGTAAAGATCGTAAACCCCCCTGAGCTAAATTTGTAATTGGTGATGTTGGGCTTTGAATAAATAAATCTGACATGACTCAAGCATGGTAGCACGCTAACATTAGCATTTAGCTGTGAGTACAGCTGTGCCACAAGAATAGATAACAACTAAATGAAAAGACAACAAATAATTCCATTTTAAGAATTTTTTCGGGTTTATATAATTCATAGTAGATTTAAATTTCAGATGTTAGCTCTGATCAGTGTCTGAACATCTCATCTGTCCCTGTTCTTTTAGGCTGAAACTCGACCATCCAGTTTCTCTTCGTTCCTTATTTTAACTGCTGTGCTCAACAGGCTGATCATCATCGACCTCCTCCTGCAAACAACCGTCTTTCCTCCCGACATTCCAGCTGTCCAACCTCTCCTTAATGCTCGGTGTCGTCATAGTAAAAGTGATAGCAATAGTTGTGGTGTGTTTGTGCGCGTGTTGCAGCAGCCGTTCATCAACCATTCAAGACTTCCAGCGTGTCGAATCTGGAGTTTAAATCTGTGCTTGCTGCAAAATAACAGATTATTACGGTTAATAAATTCTTATATATTTAGCACCACAAGATAAGGATTTAAAAAGGAGACGTGTTTTATTCTCAAAAGCGAGGCCTAAATTCACAACATCAATATGCGGAACAAAAACACAAATAAATGAGTGGTCCGGTCCATTCACAGCATGCTTAAATTAACACTCATTGTTTAAACATGACCCGCACTTGACTTATTAATTTATTATGAGTTCATTTGAATGTCAATCGAAGCTCTGCCGCTCATTAATTGATCACCATCATTATTTTATGGTAACTATGGTGTTTGACCTATTAGCGTGCTGAACAATAGGGATGAAACCATCAATCAACCCAACAGAGAACATACCACCAAATACATACAGGTTATATAATGTGCACGGATCATGCACACAGCAGCTATATACATCTATGAGAAGATATGAAAGATATGCAAGGGGACAACTGCTACATACATGCATGTACATGAGGCCACAGTATGACGATGTGGTGGCTAAGAGCAGTATTGGGTTCCATACTGCAAGAGGAGCGGCTCTTTCTCTCCTCGTCCCGCGGTGGAAAAGTTAAAATGAATGGCGCTGTGACTGTCAGAGTCCTGATTCTTCAGAAATACAGCGTTACTGGAAGCAGCAATCTGTAAAATGACAATGTCAGCTCGTCAGTAAAACTGGTTTCAAAGTAGCTTTTTTTTTTTTAGACAACAGACAGTGAAAATCAATCCTATATCTGGATTATATAAACATTTCTTGGAGTTTCTGTGCCACACGATTTTGCTGCTGATGTGTAATTTATTTCCTGGGGCAGGCAGCCTCCTTGTGGTCATACACTGTATTTAACTGCAGCCTTTCATGAGAGCTACTGAAAACAAAACCAAAGGAATTCTAATTATGAAATCCTAACCAACAGGATGTACAACACTGATGAAGCTCTGTAGATCTTGTAGATTCTGAAGAATCTACAAGTTTATCACTCAAGTGTTGAACTCAGTTTATATTTACTATGTACTGTAACGCCTTATTAAACCCAGGATAAAGGAACGTGATTTAAAAGTTTAAAAGAATATTTGTGAGTTCAGCATGTGGTTCTGAACACATTGAGTCCTTTATGTACCTGTGATCTGCTGTGATGTCGAGGACGGCAGGCGATGACGGTGATGAAGGAGAAAGTGGCCACAAGAACGGCAGCACACGACAGGATGAAGAACTTGTGGGGGTTACCTGCAGTTTACATGGAAACAAACAAGAGAGAATGTGGTTCTGCTGTTAAAGGCGCAATAAAAACCTGAACCAAGATTTTTTAAAAGTCAGGCATGTTGTTATCTATACCAAATGTATCATGTAATAACACCTGTTAAAGTCATACTGTGTGTGGTTGACATGCAAACACAGCTTGTGCATATATGGAAGGTGAAAGTGTGCCACCCTACACTTTTCTTTATTGACTGTTTAGTGTGTAATCACACCCGGCAGCCAGGCGGCCTGCTGAGCCGACACAAAACAAGTTCTTGAAGTCAAAGCCCACAGTTTTAAATTATCACCAAATTCTTAGCGAGCAACAAAACAAATACCAAGAGTTGGTTATTTTTGAGTTTCAGTTCAACTCCAGACGCAGTAAATCACAACGACAGCGAATCAATTAAGATCAGCAGTTCAGCACCGACCACTCGGATTACTCTCCTCTGACATGCCTGGATTCCTCCGTTTCCACTCGCTGTCTGTGGAACTAACGCAGCTAATTAGCACATGGTCAGTTTTTATCCGAAACACCTCATGACACAGCACAGCTCGCCATTGTTTCAAAACTCTTTGATTTTCTCTTTGATTGGATGCAGAATGGGCTGGCTCAGAGAGACGACTCTGATTGTGGAAAATTAAAGATAATCAGCCGCATGCACTGATTCTCGAGTGTCAACAATTTGGTTTCATTTTGATTCATTCCAACTGGATTCCATCAAAGCCAGATCTGCACACAGAATGCTATGGAGTCACTATGGAGAGCGAAGAGAGGATTGCAAATGGCCATAAAGTTGTGAATTCATTTGTTCTGATGGTGATAATGGGATTAATCAAAGTGTTTACAAACCAATAAATCCATTCATTTATATTAAAAAAAAAACTTATTTGGTAAAGGCTCAGTGGATGATAACAAGATAATGGGATTCCTCAAAAATTCATCAACAAACCGCTCAGCTGAAAAGAGATAAATTAAAAGTTTGAATCAATGCAATATAACTGCTCAGTTGATGGATCTTGCATGTTTTTCTGGGTCTACGGGCTGCAGCAAAGAGCAAAAATGTGTTACACTACAGCCATGTTAAATTCTTGTGCTATAAAAAAACATGGAGCAAATTCCATGTAGAGTGTATCGACTGCTTGTACGTGTCAAGGAGGTGGTTGAGGAATCAGAGGAGGGAAATAAAGGAAGAGAAACCCTACAACTGAAGAGTTCATTTGCAAAAACAGATAACTCCATTTTTGTAGATTTTCAGAAAACCTTTTGTTGTTTGCTTGAGATAATCAAACTGAAGTTGAGTGGATTTGACTCAGTAGAAATGACAACAATAGAGATAACCTAGGTTTGATTGATATTGTCTCAGGTAGATGATGGGAAAGTGGGTTTTCTGAAGGTTTGTGAAGATGGAGTTATCTGTTTTTGCAAATGAACTCTTCAGCTATTCTCATCTATTGATTCAAGGTGCCATAAATGCCCTGGAGGCCACCCTTCTCCAGGGAGCCTCCACGGCAGGCGTTCAGGTCGTCCTACAGCAGTCAGGTGGTTTTAAGAATCCCTTTGTCTGCTAACCGAAAGCTTCTCCACTTTGTTGTTGGTTTAGTTTTTTACAACTCATTAAACCCTTCTGTCTGAGCGGATTTATACACTGCTGAAACCTGAACTCCTCTGTGCTGTTTACCGGTAGCTTGTTCGGTTTTGCCATTTTAAAAGTTTAAGACAAAGTCATGGGAGTCCACGCTGCTCAGTAGAACTAATGAAGCTCTTTCCGCTCCGGGCCAGTGGTAATGTGGATGGATGGGGTGAATCCACACGAGTGCAGGGCTAAGCTTTGTTTTGTAATGAAAAAGCATTTTTCCACATCATCCAGGAGGTTTAGAACGGTTTCATAACACTTAAAAGTATTCCCCACATTTTCTAGAAACCACCAAAGGTTGTCATAGTAACAGGAACCAATCAGCACCCTTTTAACTCTCTCTCTTCCTGCCCACTTTAGTTTCTCTCATCCTGTCCTTCCCCATCTCCTTTCTTGTTCTGGAAAGCCACCTGCTTGCCTGCATGTATTTATTTGTGTGGATTATGTGAAGGAAAAATTACTTCCCTGCTCTTGACCTGATGTAGATCTATTGTAGGAGGACAGGCAAGCACTCCCTGTACCTCTCAAGGCCAGATTACACCAAGGCGGTGAACTATCTTTGTTTCCCTTTCACCCTTTCATCTGGATGTGGCCTCCACTGAAGGAGGGTACAAGACCAAAGGTGTGAGAGAAATCCTGAGAACTGATGCTGGCATTATGTACATGAACTGCTGTTCTGTCACTTCTCCTCAATTCAGTAAACTTTTTTTCAACTTAAGTCATCCGGCGTGTCTCTCTGTGTCGGGTTCCTCATCCTACATCAAGCTATTCCAGAATTTCCACAACAGATCACTCACTGCTTCTCCTGACGTAGAGGCTGAAGGAGGACTGCAGCTTGCTGATGTCGTTGCGGACGCTGATGTCCAGACAGTGGACGCCGGTGGAGGTGAAGGTGTGGTTCAGTCTCAGGGTGTTCTCGTAGAGCATCGTCAGCGTGCAGCCGCCCGTCGTGTCCGGCACGCAGTTGGGGAGGAAACGCCAGCACACCCACATGGGAGGACTGAAGACAGGAGACAAGTGTTCAGGATTAATGTTCTTTGTCCAATCTCAGTGGTGCCATCAGAAACCAGCAGAACCCTGTGGTCAGACACTTCAATCAAATGAGCCAGACTGTGGTTTCTCTCAGCTCTGATGGAGGGATGCAGAAGACACAAACGCTCTACTATGAAAACAAAAGTACTCTGAATATAAGCTTTAGAGACTATGTCACCTGTGGCCAGAAAGGGGAAATGGACACCTTCATGTCCCCTAAATTCACTATTTAAAAAAACCAACAACAACAAATAAACAAATGTAAAAAATGGTGAAAACCTAGCAGCAAGAGAGCCAGAAAAGATGAGTAATAAAACAGTGGAATGCTGCAACATTTATAACTGACAGAACCTGTAAAATAATGATAGTGTTTGCTGACTCAGATTCAGCAAAGCTCTGCAGTCTCATAGTGACATATTGGAGAAAAAAAGCACTCACTATTGTAAACAAACAAAACAGATTCTTTTTTTTTTTTAGTCAACATGTACATTTATACTGTTTTCTATGATTTTACTCAATCTATCTGTAATTTAACAAAACAGGAAGAATGTGCAAGATTCATACAAGCTCATTGTTTTCATATTTATGTGTTATTTTTTAATCCTCAATAAACTTCCAGAAAAGCAAATATTTAATCTGTAAGATGTTTTTTTTCTGATATAAATGGGTTATTTTAAGTGTCTTTTTACAGTCAAAGGATGTAAAAGAACAGTTTTGGCCTGTTAAAATCCATCAATACTTGTTTCTGTGATTTTACTAGTTATTAGTGCAATGTAGTGACGCCATACAGGCCATACAAGCCTGATGGTTGTCTGAAAGCTCTAAAATGCATTTTCTGATAAACATGCGTTCTGTAAAGACTGTTTCGCATACGTTGATACAATAGATCTTTTAGACATAGATGAAGAGTTGTTTATGGAGAAACCCTTTGGTTGTCACCTCATAGTTTTTAAACTCTGTACTTCATTGATGCAGAGCAGAGTACACTGTCTTATACTAGCATGTGGTACAGTAAATGGTCCACACTTAGATAGCACCTTTCGACCTTAGGTAGATTTTGCAAAGTGCTTTACAGCGTTTCTCATTTACTCATTGACACACACACACTTACACACCAGTGGTGGCTGCCGTGCAAGGTGCAGGAACAACTTGGAGTTCAGTGTCTTGCCCAGGGATACATTTGCACATAGCATCGAACTGCCAACCCTGTGTTTGGTGGCCAACCTGCTTTATAATCTGAGCCTCATGAACTCATTTGTATGTTTTTTGTGTCAATGCAGATTTTTATGTACCAGTGATTCTTGACATCTCCTCAGAGACTCGTGACTAGTGTCATGGAGTTTGCCTGTTCTCCCCGTGCAGCGTGGGTTCTCTCCGGGTTCTCCAGCTTCCTGATTCTAAATAGTCCGTAGGTGTGAATGTGCTTGGTTGTCTGTCTCTAAGTGTAGCCCTGTGATAGACTGGTGACCTGTCCAGGGTGTCCTCTGCCTTCACCCGAAGTCAGCTGGGATAGACTCCAGCCTCCCCGTGACCCTAGTGAGGATTAAGTGGTGTATAGATGATGGATGGATGGATGCTTCACCCCCATACACCACCGACCCCAGTGAGGATTAATGGATGGATGGATGTTTTTGGATTGTGGGAGGAACCTGGAGAGAACCCACAATGCACAGGGAGAACATGCAAACTCCACGTAGAAAGATCCCAGGAAGGATCCTCACCAGGACACGAATTGGGATTTTCTAACTGCGAAGTAATGGTGCTAACCATCACCTCGCTAACCACCTAATCACCCTGATGCAGAGCAGTGGGGTTCAAAAGGTCACATTTTCAGTGCAATAAACAGATGAATATTGGATGCCCATATTGTTTGTACTGAGCTGTTTGTTTCTTCTTCTCATTGTTGCTAATTTTCAGTCCTGCATTTGCCCTTTTATTTGGTTTGGATGAAGTTTGGAGTTTGTTTCAAATTTTAAAAAAACAACTGTTACATAGAAAAAAGAAAGAGAGAAAGTTTGTTTTCATGTTTAAAATTTTTAACTCGTATTGATCAAATATATCGAATTTCCTAGTAAATCTCTGCCTCCTGGCAGACAGGATATATCGCTGAATGTCTGACTAATCCTGCCTCCGGTATCAGACTGAGATGAGATTTATGAGATTTATTATTGATAGTGTTTTCTCACTTCCTCAGTCCTTCATTTGTAGCAACAAGTTATTACTTTATGTGAGGATGGGTGTGGGGAGGTATCATCTTGTTGTGTAAAGTGCTACATTGTCTTTGTATAAAAAGTGCTTTACAAATCATGTGTGACTGATTGACTGATTGGTACTTTCTCTGCTCATCAGTTAGTATTTGTAATAAAAGCAAACAAAATAAACCAAATGCAGCTCACCTTCCATCAACGTGAAAAGCCAGACTGGTGTTCTGAGACACCTCGTAATCTGACGGCCCCTTCAGTTCGATGTGTTTGATGGCATCTGAAAAAAAAAGTTGGTTATTAGTCATTTGAATCCATTAGAAAAACTGAAAAAGTTCATGATGTTTTTGTTTTTTTTCTACCAAACCATTTTCACAGTTCATTTAGTGCTGAACATGTAATGACAGATACATCAGCTCATTTAAGAATCCTAAATTAGTTTTGGGAAGGATTTTCTAGATTCATTTCTAACATAATAACTCTCTTTTCAATTGACAAGAGTTGAAACTAGCGATATTATCATAAAATCAACATCTGATCACTTTGCTTCAAGGAAATGAAACTAAATATGAAACTTTATAGAACCACAGTTATCTCAAGGATCTAATTGCAACAACTTGCTGATGTATATAGTAATGTAAAAACGACAAACCAAGCACTTTAACATCCGTGGAGTAGACCCCAGTGACTGCAGGAGCGTATTTTACTTTCAGCTTCAGTGTGTAGTTTCCTGATGCTGAATAATGATAGCGGACAACCGGCTCAGTGCCTTGGATCACTTCGCTGCATCAAAGATCAAGAAAAGGAATGAAAGATAAAGGAAAGCATCACAGACCCCCGGCAATATTTCAAGCGTGAGAAATCCTTTTACCCATTCCCTAAGTCCCAGGTGTAAGTGAACTTTGCTGAGCTGTAGTTCCTTTGGGGATCGAAGAGTTCAAACATGGTCTCTGTGGGAACATCTGAGGCCAGCTCTCCTGAGTCTCTCACATACGTGGCATTACCGTCCATTTGATAGAAAACCAGCTTTCCAGCAATGTTCTCTGATTAAAAGAAACAATATACTCAGATTTGATGATGAGATTCCTGTAAGAAAAGTGTAAACGAGCTGCTGGATGACATACCTAAATCTGTCAGAGGGTCGTTTATTGCTGCCACGCCCGGGAGAACCAGGAGGAGAAGCATCAAGATCCATCCAGCATGATTCCTGTAAGCACACATGCCAAAGTTTAAAAAAATCCATCACTAAATGTCAAACGTCTTAGATGTAGATGTTGGATTTACCTGCCCATATCTGCTGGTCCTCTGACTGGAGGACCTCGACTACAAATAACAGCTGATCCTGGGAGCAGAGTGGATGGACACTGTGGGGGGGATAGACGGGGGGAGATGTGGCTCCTTCTAGCCTGTGATATTCAGAGCATGCAAATGTGAGCCGTAAAGCCCTGAAATCGTCACCATGCGTTTCAATCATGTGGCTGAGGAAGAACAATTAGCTTTTTGAGCAGGAGGCTGTGCTCCGGGTCACACTGCTGTCAGCGGTGTGGGACGTCCATCTCAGATGTGACAGGTTTCAGCTCAGTTCTCTGAATGGTGATTTGACAACAACAATGGAGGTAAAAACCGAAGAATTACACAACACGCAAATTATGTGAAGTGACTGGACAGTTCCTGAATTGATTTAGATTAGGAGGTCAAAGAGGATCAGATTGAACTGTGACAATCAGCTCAAGTTTTCAAGTGTCTCCCTCTTACACATATAATAACATACTTTTAAAACCAAATAGAAAGACTTGCTTACATGACACATCCATGCTCCTGACTTTTTTCTTGTCTGATTAAAACAGGTTTATATTGTGCTTGTAGAATTTCCACCATTACTGATTTCAGCAGACAGCTACTGAAGGATTCTGAAGTCATGGGTTCAGTTTGTGTTTAATCTGTGATATTCAATATGTGACACAGTTGAGATGAATTAACTTTATGTATATATGTAGTCTATACGTAGACTATCTATAAGGGTCAGCTTTATCCTTTTTGGGCCAACGCTTGCTTGTGAACTGAAATGATAAGACTCCTGGTTTGATTGGATCTCTGTGTTATAAGCTGCTTGTAATCAAATCATTATTTAAGTTCATACTGTGCTCACATGGTGCAGACATTGTCTCATTAACATAGAGTTAATGCAGCCAAGTTGTATTTCATATACAGTATGTTTCCAGCAGCACATGGGGTGATGTAAACTGGGTTTACTTGCATGTGAATGAAGATACTCCAGCAGGTTTGTAAGATCATCGCATGAGCTGCTTTTTAAGGTGATGATGAACTAAATTGCCCCCATTAGGCTGAACACAGTCATATTTTACAGCTCAAATGTCAGCCCATGTAGTGAAAATTAATGAACCTAATCATCCTAAAACGTTCCGTTTTACTGAGCCTTTAATACTTTCTAATGTCTCATCCTTCAGGTGGTATAAAAGCAGCATTTCACTCGCAAAATTTAACATGTGTTTCCTTTAAATGTGACTTTGCCGCCGAGTCAGTATTGGAAAGTACATTAAAGTACAGAACATAAGTTAAGTTTGTAAGGTTCTTCCCCTTTAATTGAGAGTTTCCATATTATACTTTCTACTTCAACTAAACTGAATTACAAAGGGGAACACTGTACCCCCACTACAATATCTGGCAGATTTCACATAGAATAAAAGGAATTAATATGATATTGGCCAGTGTTTTTGAAAAAACAACACAACAGTAAGCAGTAGGACATATAAAGTGGCTTAATCTCAACTATCTGCAGGTTTTAAGAGCTGCTATGTCATAATAACACTTTTAATGGGCACTATTCTGCACATTTGTATATCTGAGTACATTTTGTTAATATTAAAGTACATTTTACTTTGATTTAGACAAAACTTTGAATTGAAGACTTTTACTTGAAATGGAGTATTTGTATATGTATAGATGAAACATACTGTACTGAAGCACAAACTTGACAGACTTGTACTTTGACTATTTTCTTTTCTACTTCACAACACCTCATAGACAAATAATATACTTTGTACTCCACTACATTTGTCTGACAGGATTTACTTATAGTTACATTTCAGATTCGATTTTCCGTACCATTCTTTTACATAGAGAGCTGCATATTTCTGCATGCAGTGGGTCTAAATGTTTACGATGAACTGCGGGACTAAGTGTTCCTTTATGGGTCGAGAAAATTGCCCCACTTCTCGTGCTACATTTAATGACTGTCTTGGATTCGCTGGAAAATGTGCAGATGTCCCAAAGATAAGATCAAGGCCATTTTTCTGAGGTCATGAAACGAGAACTTTTTATTGACATGTAGTTCTTCACATGATGTGACAGACAAACGATGATGATGTTAGTGAACATGATGCTTTGCTGTAGCTTAAACTGTGCAGCAGGAAGTAAACTGGGGTAATATTAAAGGAAGGGCAGCATCTGAAAATAAAATTAATCTTGTGCATAGCTACAAGTTTATATAATGTTCCAGATTTGCACGTTTTATTTTATAATAACAAAGCTGTAGTCTGTGACCTAGTTACCCTCTAAATGTGTTCATATAAGCATACTTTGTGTGTGCATGTTATATTGGTATTCAAAATATATATAATCTAAAAGACTATAAACAATGTTCTTACCTGAGTTTACCCTACATAACATCGGTAAAATGAACTTAACCTTAAACAGCAGAAAAATGCAACATACACATGAATACAGCAGTAATATTAAACCAAACACATCACACATATGATCATAAAAAACTGATAAGGCACACTGTTCTGCAGAGTAGGGGTTTTTACTTATGACAATTTAAGCCCATTTTTCTGATAATTCATAAAATAATTAAGCTTTTGCAAGCAGGAAGTTTACCTGTATTGGAGTATTTTACTAGTGTGGTATTAATACTTTTATTTAAGGAAAGTATTAAACACTTTTTCCAAAACAATGTATGCACAGAAAAAGAATAATCTGTAATCGTATAAAATGTGTCGTCTTTTTATTTTATAAACAGATTTGTTTCAATATTTTTTAAATGCATGACTACATCAAGAAAATTAGAGTACTAGATTATGGATTGACATAAAAACATTATAGTCAAACAAATGATTATAATTTTAAATGTTTTTTTCATAATTAAAATTATAACTAAAAATAACCATAAAATTTCTCTTTAATAAAGTTTTTTTTGAGTCCCCAAAAATATAGTTTTATAATTTTATAAACATTTTCTTTTTGGATTTTTTTTTTTTAGATAAAACAGATGATTTTTCAAAAAAAGAATTTTAAAACTAGATACATTTAGTGACAATTAGCTGAAAAATAAGAATTGTGTTTGTAATTTTATTTTGATTTTTTTGTTAAATGAGCGTCATCTTGTTTGATTCCAAAAGTTTTCACACACAAAAAAAAATGTATTGATGTGTTTTCATCAGCGTATAATATCTAGATGCATTGCAAGCTGTCAAAATAGTTTTACAGTTTGTCTATTTATCTATTTATATTATGGATAATGTTACTATTGTAAATCAAATTCATTGAGCATTGTTCAGCCAAATAATACATGATAATAACACATGATCTGAAGTAAAGAGAAGACTAGAAATGTATTTAGTTTTGAAAAATTTCCAATCCAATCCAGTTTTATTTATAAAGCACTTTAAAACTCCAAGACAGACCAAAGTTCTGTACAAAGAAGCAAATATGAAAGAACACATAGCACACAAGCCGAAACACAACTAACAAATAAAACGGATAAAACAAGATAAAAGTAATAAGAACAGCAATAAGACTGAATAAAAGCAAAAAGAAAACAGCTTCATTTCTATGACATGTGCTGAAATACTTTCTTTCTTTTTTTTAACAGTGTCTATATATAAGGATACTGTACAACAGAACCGCCTGCCTGTGCTGTACCTGCAGTACTCCAGCGCCCTCTGTGGGTCACTCGCGGTACTTCCACCTGAACACCAGCAGCTCTGTGCCAAAACCGTGCGTCACGCCTCCATAAGTTTCTTTTCCGTAACAAACCCCAGAGTCCCCATCTCGCTGCCTTGATTTGATTTCATCAGTTGAGAAACTTTAATTGGGTTTACACCCCCCTCGTGACGTCACCTCTCCCTCCTCCTCTCCCTCCTCCCCCCATCGCTCGGAGGGGGGAGTCTCTCGGCGTCCCGGTGATCAGCGCGTCCGTCCGCCGGCTGCTCTGCGTCTCCGTGTCCACATGCGTCTGGGAGCTGACAGGGAGCAGGAGCGCCTCTGGGATTTACTACCTGGACTGAGAGAGCAGCTGGATTAACACCAGTTTTTGTTGTTTTTCTTTTTCTTTTTCTTTTCTATTATTATTATTTTTTCATTTCTGGGCTGAAAAAGAAAAAAACAACCTGCAGTCATGTCTCGGGCTCCGGATGATGTGAGCAAGCTGACAGAAAGTACATACAAGGTGAGTGAGAAAGCAGCTGGTTTTTGTTGTTAGTGTTAAGACTGAGAGCAGAAAGCAGCATTTTAGGTTAGATGAGGGTGGTTTGTTGCATTTTTAGGAAGGTAATTAGAATGATCAGAGAGTGTTAAAGTGTGATCTTCTTTTGCTGAGACTTTTATTTTGTAATCGTATAGAACCTTTTGTATCCACACTGTAAAGAAAAACATGTGATGAGGAAAGTTTCTTAAATAAGTTACAACAAAACCAACACCACACCCTGATGAATTAAAGGATTAAAATGTGCATAGATGTGTGATTCATAGTCAGCTGAGTCTAATTTGTTGCATTTTAAGAAACCACACGTGTAAAAATATATTTAAAATGATTAGAAAGTTCTGTAATTTCCTCTTATTGAGGCTTTTATTTTGTAATTCTACGTTGTATAAAGGGTCTATTGTTTTGCCTTCATGCTGTAAAGTAAAATACATGATGGAGAAAGTTTCTGTTGTGACCAACGAAACCAACACCACACCCTGATAATGAATAATTAAAAGAAGTTAATTACATAAGATGTGTGAAGGAGGAATTCATGTATCGCATTTAGTAGCCAGATGAATCTGATGTGGTGTGTTGTAGGAAATCACACAAGTAAAAATGATTAGAAAGAGTTAAAGTGTGTTTATTTTGTTTATTAAGACTTTTATTTTGTAATCGTATTTCATATAAAGGGCCCTTTTTTTGCTTTTATACTGGAAAGAAAAACATGCGTTGTTAACAAGTGACAGAAAGTCTACCAAACTCAACACCACACCCTGATATTGGATGATTAAAACATGCATGTGATGGAGGAAGTTTCTGAATCTAATTTGTTGCATTTTGAGAAATCACAAATGAGAGAGTTAAAGTGTTCCAGGCTTTTATTTTGTAATTTTGTATTATATACAGGACCCATTCTTTTGCTTTTACATTGTTTATGTTGCAAACAAGTAGCAGAAAGTCCAACAAAACCACAGGAGGGACACACCTTGATAATTAATGATCAAAATCTGCATAAATGGTGCTCTTGAGGCCCTCCCGTCTGTGTGATGATGAAAGAAGGAAGTTGCTCTTAATCCCATCAATCAATCAACCAATCAATCAATCAAACTGCTGATCTATAGACCTGAGGTGATTTGATCAGCCATCGGATGATGAGTTTAATCTTGCTTAGTCACTCATCGGCCTCCCACAGGTGATAATGAAGATAAGCTGGGTGTGTGTGTGTGTCCTCAATATTGTAAACGCAGAACAGACATAAAGCTGTGACGAGGGAGAGTCGTACCTGTAGTTTACAAAGTGCCACAGTTTCACCTGGGAGGGCGAGAAAGAGAAATCAAAGAACCTGTTTCCCTGTTGTTGTGTTTTTTTTTCTCTCTCTCTCTCTCTCGCTCTCCTCCTCCTCCTCCTTGTCTGCTCTGAGCCTTTTCTCCATGTAAAGTCATACCTGCCCCCTTTCATTGTTCTATTGAGGGCGTGCCTGGGGAATAGAGACAGGGAGGTGAGCAGCGGCTTGATTGTTGAGACGTTTCAATAGAAAGAGAGAGAGAGAGAGACGGGAGCTGGTGGGAGGAGGGGAGAGAGAGAGAGAGAGAGAGAGAGTGATGAGGTCAGTGCTGCAAATAGCTGCCACTTTGTGTGGGACTTCGCTCTTTTGAGGGAGTTGCATACGGCATACGTGAGGGGTCAAGTTAAAGATTGAAAGTTTCTTTTTTATTGTTCTCACATGCTGGTATTTATAGAGCACCAAACACTTGCACTTGTTTTCATGTGTTTTTTCTCTTCTCCACCCACTCCCACAAAAATAGCCTCCTGAGTTTTATTGTACGTGGCAAGGCCCGAGAAAATTAGTTTGTTTGCTTTTGCGGAAAGTTGAGCCGCATTAATCCACAAAAACAACAACAATGTGTCTCTTGCTCTTTTCCTCAGAATGTGATGGAGCAGTTCAACCCAGGCCTGAGGAACCTGGTCAACCTGGGGAAGAGCTATGAGAAGTCCGTCACAGGTAAACCCACCTAATGAGCCCCACGGTGAACTCATGTTACCTTCAAGTGACCCTGCTTTAAACGGCCCAATCATTAGTGTTTTTTTACCAGAACTCTGTGACCCCTAGAAGTCTTGTTTAACAGCCTGTAACTCTATGATGCCCGTCTCTCTCCCCACGCAGCGATGACTCTCGCTGGAAAAGCCTATTTCGATGCGGTGGCAAAGGTGGGAGAGAATGCTACCGTGTCTCCGGTCTCCAGGGAGCTCGGTGAGTTTTTAATCTACTTGCAGCGAGTGAAGTCTCGGTGGAGTCTGGTGTCCCTGCTCGAATGTTTCTGCTGTGAGACTGCAGCTTGAAGCAGATAATGACCTCTAACTTCCACTTATATTTACATACGCTAGAAGGAATAGTTTGATATTATGTGGGATGCACTCGTTCACCTTCTCCAGGTATATACATGTGAGGGTACTGTTAGCTTAGCTTAGCATAACTTTTGGAAACTGAGAAACAACAAGTCTGGCTCTGCCCAAAATCACCTCGACAGCTGATTTAAAACTGTTTCATTTTGCAAGCAGTTTCTTTGTGTTGTTTTGCTCGTTTAAAATCACTGTAGGCTCATTTTTCACTGCACAACAGCACAACCATGACTAGAAGTAGAGAGAACTCATATGTTTAATGCAGTATGGCGTAGTTATAATGCCATAAAGCATAACAACAAAAGAAAGTTGATTGAGTCCTCAGGTGTTAGCATTTCCCCCCTAGTAAATGGTGATTTTGAGTACTATAGATATTTTACTACTTAGAGGTTTTATTTGTTTAAAACATGTCTTTTGCCTGCTCCATGTAAACCTGAAAAGTCTTTGAATTTTTGACACAACTGTTGGTCACAGCTGGGTCAGTGATGGATTTACAGTTATGCCAAGTAGCGCAGAATTTTTAGTTTTTTACTAAATTTGGTTACGGCTTATGTTTGGCAAAACCCCTACAATTTTAACCACAGATCGGGCTAACTTTTCTAGTGAAATCATATAGTGAAGTTCAAGGACCGTTGGAAAGTTGGAAATCCGATGATTCTTTCCATGTTTGCAGTTTCTGATAGATGTTGTAATTTTGACAACTTTAACCCATTACAGGGCACTCACTGTCATACTTGGAAATGTAAAATTTCAACCCTGGAGTGTTATTGGTGGATATAAGAAGTCTTTTTTGACTTTAAAAAAAAGGTTTTAGGCTGCAAATCAAACTCAAAGCAGTTACCATACACAATTCCTCACCCACCAAGGGTATATAAAAAAAAATCTAAATAATTTAATATAACAAGAAAATATATATTTATTTCCAAATGACCTGTCAGACTTATGGAGTTTATGACACTTTTGTCAAATTATCATTCTGGCTCACTCGTGATTGGTCAGAGGCCATGCTAACTGTGTTGTGATGTAGCCTGACTTTCATTGATTGGCTGAATGAAGTCATGTGATTCTGCCTCCTGCCATTTTTAAAGCCTGCAAAAGTGACTATATATGGTTCCTTGCCCGATAAAGGGTTAAAGATATAACATGCCTTTCAAACACTTGACACTTGGAGTTCAGAGGTTTAACATTTATACTTTGCAAAAATCAAAGTGGAAAAAAGTTAACTTGTGGTTTTAGAGCGGGGTTATGTGACCACCTGTTTCCTTCCTGGGTGCTCAAGATGTCCTGAAGTTTACCTTACAACCTGCCAGTGACAACAAGACTCCCAGAAGTCACTTCCTCTGGCCAAGACATAACCCCCTGTAAAACCACACCATGCTGCTTTGTATGAGTTAAACAAACGCAATATAGTTGGGCAATTATTGGGGTTTAGAGGAGCACTGCAGGGTTATTTTGTGTGTTGTAAAAGCTAGGCTTTACCTTGCTTTTGTCAGATGTGGTCTTATATGGAAACATCAGTGTTATTGAGCTTCTATTTAAACTCCTGGCAGCAAAGTGAGGTAGTTTATCTTCCAAAACTGACTCCTAAGCGTCGAAATCAGCAGCTATCCGTTCAGATAATGGATCACTGTACTCTTTCGATCCAGCTTCGTCATGGTGACACATTATGTACCCATCAACCTGAATGCGAGTCAATTATGCAAACATCTGGAAATAACAATGATCGAAGCCCCAAGGAACAGTGGCAGCAGAAATTCATTATTATGTGCCGTCTACCTCTCGCCCTGATTGAAGTGCTTCCTCTTCTTTGTCTCCTCTGTGCGGCTGCCATCAAGCCTGCACAGGTTGTTTTTCATCCGTCCTGTGAGTCATCACCAATTATTCTATTAGCGCTAAAAATCCAGAGCTGACCTGTTTTGTCCGAGGGTCATAATTTGGCACTATTACAATTCATCAAGATGCCGCGTCACTCCTTAAACGCCGGGATTTGCAAATTGGTCTGATGTAAGCTCAGGGTTGATGTGACAGGCAGGAAATCAGAGAAGAGGAGTTAAAATGGAAAAGATAATGTTCTGTCATTTTGCCCCTGGACTTTTTAAAAGAAGATTGTGAGCGCTCACGTCGTAAATAACCTCTCTTCTGTTATTTCTGAACACGCTCTCTTCTTTTACATGGCATTTGCATCGCTTGAAGTCGTAAACAAATTTCGATGAAATGTCAAACTGGATGAATTGATCTTTGTTTTTTTTTTAAAGCTGTCACTATGTGGAAGAGACAAATTTAGATTTGACTGTTTTGTTTGCTAAAAATGTAAATAACGTGATGAGGAAGTTAAAGAACACGAGTGCAGTGTCTGAAAATGAAACCATGAAGAATACGTTTCATTAAGCTTGCCAAAAAAATCCAGGCTCTCAAACAAGATTTTCTGCCCTTTCTTGTTCATTCCTCTAAAATTCACCTGGATAAAGCATGAAACTGAGCAGCTTTTGCCGTAGAAGCAGGTTCGATCTTAGCGATATTACAAAAGCTCTCTTCTTACCCAATATGATATCTGAGATTATTGGTAAAATGTGTGCAATTCAGTTCACAACTGAGCCCCAAACTGAAAGTGTTTCTGTCTGACACTAAAACATTCCACAAAGCGCTGTTACGAAATGTTGATCAAGTTTGTTTAAGCCACACCTGTCAGTGAACAATGGCAGCATTTCATCGCTCCATTAAATAATATGTTCATGTTACATGGTTGTCCGGTGACATTGTCGCTGCATACCATAACCACAGAGGAGGAACAACTCTGCTAACACCCCACGAGATACTGCTTTTACTGTTTTGAACATGTGGGAAGTCACAGATGGCAGCTTTGACTCCGAACATTCAATGTTCATCCAATCTGGGCCCTTTTTTTAATTGACAGTTTAAAAAAAGAGACTAAAAATGAGCATCTGTAGGTTTTCTTATTGTTTTCAGACACATGCTACGTACCTTTGCTGGCTTCAGTCCTTTAAGGTGGCAACATTCTGTCATAGATGACTTTTACATAAACCCTTAGAGTCGGACAGACGCACTTTACGTCTAAATTCACATCCCTTCTTCAAAGCTGAATCGCTCTCAAAGTATTTATTTCTGCAGGTGTAGCACATAACAAATGGAACCACATGACTTGACCTTTCCAACAATGCCAGTTGCAACAAAGCGTCAGTGAGAAAAACAACTTTTAATTTACATCAGTCACTCAATCAGGAGCTTTTGTCAGTAAACTGCAGTGCAAGACAGCAACACAATGACATTCTGATTACATTAAATGTAATCATAGGTACAGCCAGCAGATATCCATATATAGATAGTATATAAATATCAACTATACAATGTAATCGTTGCATAGTTGTGTTAATATGTATGTAATTAAATGCAATAATGTTACATCACAAGAACAAAAACATATGCCTGGTTTGCCACCTCTGCAAGTAGTATGCTAATAAAGTTAGTAAATAAAATGTTAACATTCATTTCCATTTGGCACAAAATACGTATGTTCCCCAATTTGTAAGTCATATATATCCCATAGTTTTGCTTCTGATATTGCTAGATTCCAGACAATCTCCTCTACACTATCATGAAAAGTTGCCAGTATTTTATTGTGAAATACATGTGAAGAAAATCCCTAAGACGTTTAGTTCATCTTTGATAGCCAGTCCAGTATAAAAACAACCTGCTTATATTATCATACCAACTGATGGAAGGCACCACTAAACACACCAAGATCCATCATGCGGGGCAAGCCTTCATTATGCTCAAGGTAAGAGCTTGAAAGAAAATAGCAGAGGGTTCATGGGGTTAAAGTTCTTCATGGCTTCACTGACACATACCGACGATAGAACCGTGATACACGCGATGATATTTGGCATTGGACAGTGTATTAAGTGATAATAATGCTTGGCAACATCCTACATCAGTGCGTCGTAACCTTGTGCGTGCATCTATTAATACAGAAAGTTCAGACTCGTGTGGTGTTGAAAGTGATGTTTAAATATTATTACGTCCAATCTAATAAGATGTCAATCAGGATTTTTATGGAAAAGTGACTCATTCAGATGCAGTCGAGTTCATAGAAAAGTTTGCCTGTCTGAAAGTTGTCGCATTTGTTGACCGCAATCATAGAAGCCTATCCCATGTCAGGCGTCTCCATATGGCTTCTCCTAAAAATGCATGCAAAGCCCTGGATTCCAGGCTCTGTAGTCATTCCCTGACTGCCTGGAATAGACGACGAGACGGTGTGAATTCTCTCACCCGCCGCAGCGAATAGAGCCGCAAACACTCTGAGCAAACAGACAGACAGAGGAGGCCGTCTTCCCACCGCTGATCCTCCTCATCGCCCTGTTCCTCCGTCTGTATGAAAGCAGGAGACTCTTACAGGATTTATGGCTGTTTATCATGGCCTCGAGAGAATCTTTAATCATTCAACTCCATCTCTGACACTTGATTTAGGCGGAGAAGTCACACAATTCAATATAATTTACTTTGAACTGCGCGGCTGTCAACAGGCGACAGAGCAGATGCATCGCTGTGTAGCTCTCTGCTGCAGACACCTAAAGATTGTTTTCTCTGAAGTGATAGATTCTTTTCTTTCCCTCTCCCTGTGAATGGTGTGGTGTAAAAACACTTGCGTCACAGAGGCTGGCAGGTATTTGCAGAAAGCTACCTGAGGCTTTTTACTTGGGCGCTGCTGTTTTTTTCCAAGACTACAGTTTTGTCTACATTTAGATTGTTGGAGGTGAAAGCGTGTTGGTAATAAGGAAAGACTTTTAGTCAGCTGCCTGAAGGAAACCTGCACGCACATGAGCGAAAGCCAATAACCTGCGTCAGTGTTCCTCTGCTCTTTAATTTCTTTTTATGGACTTCACAAAAAGCACCACTAAAAGCATTCAGAAATGGTATCCAAGAATTGTTTTTCACTAAAAGGTATCAAAACTTTTGGGAAACTGTTTACAGACAGAGCCCCCTAGACTTTTAAAGCACTCTCCTCCCAAGTACCCTTCACTCACTTTTTCTTATACCTCCAGATGTGGCACTTCATCATCTCAGAATAAGATGGACATATACAATCATTAGTAGAGTTGCCTCGAGATAAACTTGA